AAATTTGATGTCAGAACAATCAATTTATTTAATAATATAACTTATATTATATTACTAATTTTAAATATTTGTTCTCTATATCATTACTGCTTATTTTATAAAATTTGACTTCGAGAATTAAATTTTCAGGAAAAGTAGCGGGTTTTCTCGAGGGGTCTCAAAATATAGAGGAGTAGCAAGGTAAGATTTGATTAATAAAATTAGATGTGCAATTAGAGCATGACCGTCGGTCCAGGAAGGTATTGATTCAAATAAAAGAAAACAATTTGCTCATTACTGTGCTGAATCTATAAATGCAGCCATATGGCTCATGTCACTATCTGTATGGTTGTTGAATTTTCCTTTTGTCTGGCGTTGAATTTTGTAGGCACCATCACAATGGAAGATGGGAAGCTCGGATTGGTAGAGTGTTCGGCAATAAATATCTCTACCTCGGAACATATGGTAATTACACAAATATGATTTTATTTTCTTATACTGTATATTTTTAATTTATTTTAAAGTAGGACTTGAAATTAGAAAATTAAAAACATTAACTATAGGCGCTTCTCTATAAAATATGTTAATGCTAGTTATACGATTAGATACTACTTCGATACTATATTGATTCTTTTGGGAAAAAAAATTATGGTCAAATGATATTTCAAACGATGAACTTAATTCTCTAGTTCCTTAATTATCTGGAGAGTGGAGAAAGACTTGCTAAATGACCATTATAAGAGAAAGACATCCAGTTCATTAAATAAATGATTAAAATGTTTCTCAAAGGAAAATTAACTTTAGCAGATGTCTTTACGCCTAAATTCATTCTAGCTGTTGGTCCACTTAAAGCATATGTCAACAACTGGTTGCACCCAAATTTGGTGTAACTAATTAATCTTTTTACTATATACATTTGTTGACTATATGCTGTAATAAGAGGCGAGAAGAGTGCATAATATAACCAATATAATTCTTTTCTCTTTTTTTTTTTTTGGTGAAAATATAACCAATATAATTTAATAACAACATTTGTTGATAATACTATGCAATAATAGGTTTTACTCATGGGGTTAATGTTTGTCTGCTTTATCTCCAAAAAATTTGGAGGAAAAATGATAAAAATTACTTTAATGCATGTTTTAAAAATAAGGTAATTTAGTTTTTTTCAATAAGGATTTATTAAATTGACATAGTTTTGGGATGATTTTCTTTCTAATTTTTAGGAGATAAGGCTGATAGACACTATTTTCTTTACTAATTCTCTCTTTATTTGGTAATATGAGAATAAATAAAATTAACAAAAATGCTTTAATTGTAATGTAATATGGTCTTGTAAACTTACAATATAACATGTTATATAATTTGTTTTTTTTTTTTTATGAATATATAATTAATTATTTTCACTAAGAGGTTCACTCATAATATTATATGTATTTACTATACATCCACTCATTTAATGTCATATTATATTTCATTAAATGTTATGTAAGATTGTAAATTTATAATCGTACTGACATTATAAATATAACATTTCTATAAAATTAATACACATCTATTTACTATTTGATATTATGTAGGCGACAAATATTGTTGATAAATTATCACCGAATAGTACATAGTAAGTTACATACATGGAAATATATAATCAAATCTAGTTAGTTGGGATATTGATCACCAACCCTCAACTGCTTGTTCTGCTATTTAAGATTTGAAGTTTGATAGGAATAAATCTTCCAACCCACCAGTACCACCAAAATCTTCATGCAAATTCAATTCTATAATTTATTGTGATTTTTACTTCAACTTCCTAAACAAACAACTACTCAACTTCTTTTTCTTCATTTATTCCTTTCCAGCTACGCAGGAAGAAGCTGCGATGGCATATGACATGGCGGCCATAGAGTACAGGGGAGTTAACGCCGTTACCAACTTTGACCTCAGTCGTTACATCAATTCGCTCCGTCCAAATAACACCAACAATCCCACCATCACTCAACAAAACCCTAATGGTCACACTAATTCAATCCAAAACCCTAACCAAGACCATGGATTACAATCTTCTCCCTCCCTCAATGACAATCAAACATCGAATGTTAGCGAATCACCACGGACCGACAGTGGTGGTGCCTCGGAATCATCTGGTGTAGGGCTTTTATTCCAATCCTCAAAGTTTAAGGAAATGTTAGAGAGAACATCTAGCAGCAGGGATTGTCCATCAACACCGCCTGCAGAGCCTTGTCCGGCAAGGCGGAGCTTTCCCGACGATATTCAGACGTACTTTGATTGCCAGGATGGTGATAATATTATATTTGATGAGCTGGATTATACATTTACTTCGCCGATGTTTGATTGTGAGCTGGACATGATGCGGGTTAATTAATTACCACTTGTAAACAGTTAGCGTCAATACACGTGCGAAGGGTAAGATGGTAATTGGGAACGGTGGCAAAAAGACAATTTCATTCATTTTTAAATTCGAGAAGAAGAAAATTTCTTGATTTTTGTAGTTCTTCTTAAATGTAGATATACATGAAGATATATGTAGACATTCAATATGATTACTATCCTCTTTTTTTTCTTTTTTTTTTTAATGATAATAAAACCTCATATTGTAATTCACTAAGTACTTCCTTTATGAAAATAAGTGTTCTTCGAATTTTTTTTCAGTAACTTTATTAAATTTATAGTATATGTGAATTGAGGGTAATGGAGGGGAGAGGAGAAAAAAAAATTTTATTTAATTATCAAAAAAATTAAAAAGGAAAGAGAGAGGTAAATTTTTTATTTTTTATTTTTTTAATTTAATTACTTATCTAAATAAAGTGAAGGGAGGGAAACATTTCTCCCTTCTCCTTAATTTAAATATAAAGTTAGAATTTATTTATTTTATATT